CTAGCATACTAAAAATGCAAGGATGATATATTGCTTGTTTACTAGCTCAGGAGTGCTCAAGCCCTGACCTGCGGGCTGGATCCAGCCCCCAGCACTTTGTCTTCCAGCCTAGTTGGGGCTCCCTATGGATCTGCGGGGAGCCCCGCAGTCCATGACCCTGTGCTCTAGATTGGGTGCGCAGGGTGGCGTGCGGCCTGATCCCAGTGGTGCTGGGCCCATGCCACTCATCTGGCTCATGGGGCCAAAACTGAGCACTACTGTACTAAATAGTTGATGTATATCACGTGCAAAGAGTTAAGTGGTGGCACTGGAGTGATAACCTAATTTTACATTATATGCAGGAGACAGCACATAAACTATTTTTTGTTAAACAAAGCAGCCATAAATGTTTCTTACATAAGCCTGCTGGGCCCTGTTTATAGAGCATTACCTCTAAATCTAGATGCTTTCCCCTGATTCCTGTTTTATACAGGAAAGTACATAGACTAACTCAGATTTTTTTGTGCTCATGGAGGCAGCACACTTGGTTTTATTGACATACTTTAAGAGTGTAATAATGTGATTTCCATTCATTCTGATTTCATGTTCAATTGATTATGGTTTATCTTTTAGAAATTAATAACTAAACAACATGTTTATTTCAGTTGCAGGTTTAAAACGACCTGTTTGATAGAAGTGGTGGTTGGGGGGGCAGGGACTTGCCTAGGTTGCAGGCAGGATGTTTGTTGAGGGTTTGAAGTCGAGCATGGCTTTGCTCTGTGCAGTCTTGCGTATTGGGGGCGTCCTCTCTTTCCACTGCTCCCAGGGGTTGTTGTGACTTCCATTCTCTGTGCTTAAACTTCCATTTTAACTTGGCTGCTTTTATCTGCTTCCACTTCAAAGTTCCCCGGGCCATGTAGCCCAACAGCTTTGAGTTTTCCTTTCTTATGATCTAGAGGTGCTATATTGGTCACGTGTTGGATTGGCACTGATAACAGGAAAATTAGCATTATTGGCAAGCAGCTTTTTTTGGCCAATAATATCACCGATAAATGCCGTGTGTGTGTGCAGCCACAGCATGCACGTGGCCAGGAATGCGGCCTGGCAGCTTGGAGAGTGGGTAAGGGCGATTGAGGCCCCTGCCCCACTCCTCATGGTGAGGGGAGGAATGGGGCAGGCACTGCCCAGCCAGGGTGGTGAATACGACCCTGGGACTGGGGTGGGATGGAGTTGTAGGTGGCTCATCCAGGGAGGTTGGGATGGGGGTTGGCTCCCTGCTGCTGTGCACACTCCCAGGGGAGGCATGGGGGGTGGGTGCTCCCCCTCCCCCCCCCACCGCATTTGTGTGCAGGGTGAGGGTGGGCTGCCTGCTGGAGGCTTGGGGCTAGGCCTGCACCACCTTTATACCTGGGGGGGTGGGGGGCAGGAGGCTGGGCAGGGGCGGTGCAGGCTCAGCGGTGCTGGGAGGAGAGTTACCAGCAGGATGCTGCTTTCCAAGCAGACCGGCTGCATTCCTGTAAGTTGGCTATCGGATCAGTATCGTCCAGTATGGCTTGTAAATAATGGGCCATCGGTATCAACCAAGAAAATCTTTATCGGTGCACCCCTATTATGATCTTAGACTTGCAACTTGCGATTCTAGAAACATGCCTGTTCAGAAATCACAGCCTTGTCTTATATTTGTATCACTTACAAGCTGAGTTGGTTATTAAATAAGAGGTAAATTGGTGCAATCATGTATTGCGCATCTTCAGCCCTAATTTCTTTCAGAAGTGGTAGGTGAAATTATTAGTGTAAGAATAATTTACTGCAATTTAGTTTGGGGAGATCAAAATAATCTTGTCCGTGCTTGAATTATAGAGTAAAACTGATGACTGGCTGTCTAGGTCTCTAGGAAAATCCTCAGCCAGCTTCTGTGGAGTGCTGTATTTAACAGGTCCATGATCAGAGTGGGACTGTATGGAGTGTAGTTGCATAGCTACAACAGCATCTAATGGTATTTAATGCAGTATATGCAGGCCCTGTGTTACACAATAGCTGTTCTTTACAAGCAGAATTGTTTCTTTCATCTGCTTTCCAGACTTGCTCCCACTGTATGTTGTCGATTCTAGCAGGAGGCCTAATTGGGCAACATAATAATGTGCTACATATGCTTTTAGAAAAGAAGATAGGCGCTGTTTAAAAGAAACTGATCTCCGAATTGTGCTGTTGCAGAATCTTTGCCAACACTAGTGATATGCTGTACAATATCTGCAGAAAGAGCTTTTTTTAATGCACATAATCTTCATTAAACGCATTTTCACAGCACATGGTGATCCCGGGATGCCTCGGTGAGCGGCTGTTTTTTTTGTCCTTCTCATTTTGGTTCCACTTTAGGAAAGCTCTTAAAGCCAGTCCGCTGGTTTCTGTCCTCCAGCCTTTGGGTCCCACCCCAGAGTTGCAACCTAAGGACACTTGGGCTTACAGGCCCTGTGTTGCTAATTAGGGTCTCCTCTGAACTCTTTTCAAGTATTGTGAGGTACCCCATGTGCTGCACGACATCGATCTCTCACTAGCAGTATATTCTTTCTGCACCAGCAAGTTTCCATCAAATCCTGCTGTTAATCACAGATTATGTTCTTCCTTAATTGAGTCTCATGACATTTTGAGACTTCTCATTAAATTCTTAACCTAATGGCCTGATCCCTTTAATTTCTGAGCGATTTTCAGATTCCATATTTCTAGCTAAGCTGAAGCGGGAGCTATTGTCTGTTTCTCAGCGTTAACACAAGGACTGTCTCCTTGCAGAGCTCTGAGCTTTTGCCGGCACCTGAAGCATGTCAGTAATGATCACTTCAGCTCCACTTTTCCTCCAAGCTTGCTGAGAAGCTGTTCTTGCTGACGGGGATATGGTCATAACATGTCAAATCTGGTTCTGGAGCAACTTTATCAAAATGCTCGTTATTGGTGGTGTGGTGAAATTCCCCTTTCTGAAAAGGGAATGTTGGTCAGCAGTTCAGCGATTGCAGTTGCTGTTAGGCCAGAAGTACAAAGTGAGGCTAGTTCTCGCGGAGCTTCAGTAAGTGTCACCTTTTGGAAGCAGAAGTGACCGCAAGCTGGTAACTTGGCCAGTGCATTGCAAACTGCTCCTCTTCCAAGCAACTTTGTGTGTTACTGGGCTTTAGACTTCGTGGCATGTACTTCAAATCTGTAACGGTGAACTAACCTGGGCTCAGAGGCTTCAGTCTTAAATATTTAGCTTGAGATGGTCAGGGCAGGGTGTAGCCTGGCACAACAACAGAGCCCTTGTGCTGCCGGCTGCGGCCTTGGTGTGCGGGTGGAGGAGCCCCTTGGTTACAGGCTTGGTGTCTAATTGGAGAAGGTCTTCTATGGCACCTACTGGGAATCTTGAATCCCTTTTCGCGCTCCATTTTGTTTCAGCGGCCAAGTCCCTTAGTGGTTCAGTGATGCAGTATAAATGATAAAGCTTTGAATAGTGTTCCTCTAAGGCAGGGATGAGCAAAGTCCAGCTCATGGTCTGGATCAGGCCTACGGTGAACTCCATTTCCCAGCAGCCCCTGCCTGTCTCTCTGCAGGTGGTTTCCATGGCGACCCCAGGAGCAGCAGGGCTGTGACAGCGCAGGTTCAGTGTTTCCATGGAGATTGGCCCCAGCTCTGGGACAGGGGTCTTGTGCCGGTGGCAGCATGGTCTGGAGCTGGGTGAGAGCTGTGATCTGCCCGCACGCCGTGGGCAGGGATGTGCGGGCAGCAGATTACTGCTCAGCCCTTGCTCCAGACCATGCCGTCACCATTGCAAGATCCCGGCCCTGCCCAGCCATGTGCCCTGCCAGCACTGCTGGGGCCGGTCTCCATGGAAACCTTGGCCCTGTGCTGTCACTGCTGTTGCAGTCTCCATGAACACCAGCCACAGTGGTGTATGCTGGGGCTGCTGGGAAATGGAGTCTGGGCACATGCTGGATCTGCTGTCTTTTCCCACCCCCGCCCCGAGGGCTTGACGCTGCTGTTCCCAGCGCTGCCTCCACAGAGAGCACCTCCGACCCTGGCGCACACCTGCCTGTCGGGCCTTCCACACACTCGGATTGCAGGATTGAGGCTTTTGTTCTCCTGCTTTCTGGAAATCACCTGGGAGCTGCCTCCCATCCTGGCCAACACCCCCAGGTTTCCTGTTGACAAATAGCTCATTCAGCTTGAGCACCTACCCAGGAAATGGGGAGAACTTGCTGAGTCTCTGTGGGGTGTCAGGAACAGGTTGGATGTCCCTTCCTCCCAGGCACCGTGTGCGTAAGAACAAGGAAGTTCTGGGGGGTCTGGAAATGCAGACATGAATTTGAGAAAATAGAGCAATAGAAAACATGCACACCAGTAAAAATACACCCAGTCTGATGCCCATCTCTCCTGCTGACAGCCGTGTCCCAAACTAATAGCCGCTTGAGTACATGCTGTCCTCTCTTTTCCCCGGCCACATGGTTTGGCCAGGAGTCTCGGTGAAGGCTGACTTCACTCCCAGGAGATTTTGTGGAAGCATCACCACGTAACCCAGCCTCGTGACTCAGCTCGCAGCTTCGCAACGTGGCTGGGATGTGTTGGAGCATGCCAGCAGTTGGTGTAGCAGGGCGCTGCAGGATGTGGATAATGCTGCTCAGAGCTGACAAGACAAGCACAAAATGTGCAATTGGTTTCAATACTTACTTCTACAGCAGCAAACTTCTTAGACCCAGGAAGACCTGGGGAGTGGGTTCATTAGGAAGCTCTCCATCTTGGCCATTACAGAGTGGGGCAGGAGTATGCCCTGGTGAGAAGTGTGCTCTTAATTATTAACTACTGTGTGGTCTTTAGCAAACTATTAATCTCTTACATATGCTTCAGAAAATGTATTATTAATTTGCTGTCGGGAGCATTACATTAAACGGAACAAGTGTTTGTAAAGCATCCTGAGATCCTCAGTTGAAACAAGTTACAGACATACTTTATAATATTTTTACGTGTGTGGCTTATTAAACCTCCCCAAAAATGTTTTTCAGATTCTAAATGGCTTCAAAGAAGTTGGGATCAGACTTTCATGGTAAGTGACGTGAAATTTAATTTATTTTTATTTTTTATTTTGTGTTTATTTGCTTTATTTAAATGGAAGGGCTGCTTAATTTGAGGAAGCCCCAGTCTAAATGTCTATTCTTCTAGCAAAGCGAGAGGAAAAGAAACCTGTAACAGGGAATAGAGCGGCTCCAGGGATTAATGCAGAAATTCTCTAGAGTTTCTCCCATGTCATGTTGACCAGAAGTCGTCATTTTCTCTTGGCCATTTGATTGAACAGTGAGAGCTTAAGTCCGAGTTTGTTTCCATTCTGAGTTTTCACTGGATGCCTGTCTGCTGTCGGCTGTCTTTGGCCTTCTACGGCCAGGTGCTCCATGGAGACTAGGCTGTTCTGTGTCCTAGAGCCAGTTCCTCCACATCAGGATTCACGCACATGGGGGACGTGGTCTTGCTCTTTGCTGTTTCTGCTAGTTGTTCCTGCCCTTAAGCTAAATAGGAAGTTTCTGGTTGCCATTTCCATTGGTTTTGTTGGCACTAAGGAGGCTATAGAAATTAAGAGATTCTCTAGTTTTGAAAGGTGAAAATATCACTTTGGAAAATGAGGGTTGGAATGGACCTCAGGAGGTTCCTGCTGCTTGATTTTTGCAGAAGCAAATGTTTTATGCTTAAATCTGCAACTGCACTTTGCTTTTAACCTGTTGTTCCTCACAAATAACTTCCTCAGTCTCTTTGTGAGATCAACTACTCATGCTTTGTGCTGGCTCGAGAGAGGGAAAGGACATTTCTTTTAGGTACCGATCTTGCAAACGTTTAAGCAGATACTTAACTTGATGCAGATGAATCGCATTGGGATCAGCAGCAAAACTTGCTGGTGTAAATCGAAGTGGATGGATGGGTAGGTGGGAAGAGAGTCTATTTCTGAGAGGGGTGGAAGAGTGACGGAGTGTCCTGAAACTTCAAAAGCTGACTTTTTTTTTTTTTAAATATTTTTTGCCTTGTGTGCAAATCTTGCTGTCGCATGTAACCAGGAATCTTGTAGTCAGTGACCAAGACCAGCTCAGGCTGCTGTGTGGTTGCTCTCTAAATGGTATTTTAGATGAGGAGAATGGGATTACTGCTCTCTTGCCTGGCACCCCGAGCCTTGGAAGAGTTCATGTCATCAGGTTTATCCTTACACTTTTGAGGTCCTTAACTGATGTTGTCATGGAAACAAACCAAACAGACTAAGCTGGGGTGCTCAACCCTCGCCCGTGGGCCAGATCTGGCCCATGACCCCACATTATCCAGCCTGTGGGGCTGCCCACGGGTCCAGAAATTTGGCGGCAGGAGAGTGGCAGCACCACTCTCCTAGTGCCATGGGGAGCCCCAGGCTGTGTACACTGGATCTGGCACCCAGTCCCAGTGTACAGGCCCGAGCGGCAGTGGTGCATGGCCTGAGGGCCCAATCCTGGTGTGGGGGGGCTGATGGTAGGCCCCTGGGGACCAATCCCAACGTGGGGGACCAGGGATGGGGGGCTGCTGGGCCCCAGAGCCTGGTCCTAGCGCATGGGGCTCACTTTGGTCCACAAAGCAGCCTTGCCCCACTCATCTGGCCAATGCGGCCAAACGGTTGAGCATCATTGACTAACCAGATTTCACTGTCTGAGATAAATGCACAAAGAAACCAGACTAAATCCTGGAAGCTGGCTTGGACACTTTTTTCCTAATAAAGTGTAAAAATAGATAAGATGGTTTATATTCTTTATCATCACCGTCTTTTAAGTTTCCAGGGGCCCGCTGAGCTTGATGGCACGCACCCGAAAAGCCCTCTTAATTGCTGGCTGCTGTTGAACTGATATTGCAGTGCAGAATTAATGCCGCTTCTGGGGCCCTGAGTTTCCTGGTTCTGGCCTCTATTTGTGTTCTGGTTAAAAGCAGAGCTAACTGAGGTCCTTGGCCTCTAATTTTAATTGCATACCAAGGTGTAAAATAAAAATAACAGTAAACCCCCTCTACAAACATAGGTTTAAATGCCTCCTACCTGGCTCTGGGCTTACAGTCCTACAATAAGAGTTAACAGCTTATACTTTCTCTGGTGCCTGCCAACTGTTTGGCAGCTGTTTTTGTATAAGCTAAAACAGCCTGGATGCATGTTCAGAACTGCCTGCCTCCCGGTCTGCTCGCTATCTCTCTTTATTTATAATGTTTCTCCAAAAGCGGCTGAAAGGGCCACTGCTTAGAGACCCAAGAATTGGCCTGTCTTGAAAAACATTACAGAATAATACAGGCAGCTGGAAAAATGCTCCGGGATTTGCAGTAACTAGAACAGAACAAATGGGTCCTCGGCAGCAGAAGCAAAGTGAAACGAATGCCCCATTCGTGTCTCAGCTGCTGCTGGCAGTGGCAGCACTAAGCAGCTTACTGCTGCGTGCCCGGAAATGCGCTGGAGACGGGTGAAAGCAACTCTTGCTTGGTCGTCTCCTGCAAACTGGGCAGGGAAAATTTATTTTCAGTCTTTCCTCAGGATCCAAAAGAATAAATAGGTGACCCTGCCCCTGCGGTGGGATTGCAGCTGGTTACAAAGCATCCAGCCCATTACTGTTGTAGCTCATCCGGTACAAGGCTGACGCAACTTGGAGCGAGCAGATGTGGCATGTGATTGCATTCCTGCTCTCTGGGCTACTTGTGGGAATTTAAATGTGGCTTTTACTGAGAGGGTGTGAAGCAGGATACTGGTTAAATGGAGCTGCAAGGAAGCCACCTTCTGAGCTCACCTTTCGGAGAGCAGCCCAGCCAGCTTAGTGCTGTGATGCTATTTGCATCACAAGCGGCGGTTGCTGGAAGTATCGCCCTTCCCACGGGCACCTTGAGCTATCTTTCCCAAGGTCAGTGTGCTCTGCTGCTCTTGCAGAGGTATATCATTGCCACATTGTTCAAGAGTGTTGTCGCCACTTCCTCAGATGTCAGAAAATCGCTTCAGTACGTAGTGGTGTTCAGCAGTGTAACCACGAGAGTTATCTTCAAGCTTCCTTGTTCTTCACGTAGAAAACAGCTTGCTTATAGTTTCACAGAGTAATGGGAAGTTTCCCCTATATTGGGATTATGGCTTCACAAGTGGAGCTCTTATAGGAGGCAAGAAACTCTTCGGTGTTTTTCAGCAACGGAGCAAAGGTTTGTGGCTGTCAGCTCTGTAACATTCACATAAATAGCTATGTGTATATGGCAGTCTTGGCAAAGCAGGTGCCCGTTCTTCTGAGCTCCCCGATTCTGCTGTTGGAAGTACTTGAAGGATGAACAAACTTGTGGAGCTAGACACACTCGGCAACCAGAGGACTTGGCCTTTGCGTTGTAGCCAACTGTGCAGGCTGCTGGTGCGCAATGTGCAGCCACTGCTGGTATATCCATACCCACATCTACTTTCTATTTGCTTTGCTTAACCTGCTTTCTGGGCCATATTCTAACAATGGAGAATAGCCCCAGCCCATTTAACGTGGGTAAAATATACATTAACATGCCTTCCTGCAGAAGGGAATTCTGCAAACTTGTCCGCAGTGTCCTGAGAGAGGCTGTTCCCCAGGTCTGCAGCAGACCCTTGGTAAATAATACCAGGTTGCAGTGGCGATCACAAATTCAGGTCAAGATGCCAGGAAAAAACTAAATATGCTTTTTTCCCAGGCACGTTTCTAGAAGATCCCTTCCTCGGTGCTCGGGTCTAAACTAGCTGTCGAGTTCCTGAGTCGAGCAGCTGGTGTGCTTGAGGGGACCAAAAGGTGACCTTTGAGGCCTGGTCTGGGCTATATAGTGCGCACACTTACATTCATACCTCCCTGTGGTAGCAGGACCCCCACCTCTTACCCTCCTTCTCAGCTCTGGCCATGGCCTCTCTGTCCTGGGGCATGGAGCATGTGCTCTTTGCCAGTTCAGTAATGCCACCCCTTGGAGAAAGGCCTGGCACTAGCATGTAGCGAGTGCCCAGGCCAGCACAGTGCAGATGCGACTGCTCGGGTGGCTTCCCTAGGGTAGCTGCTGTCCACCCTGAGCAGACCAGGCCTTAGTGCTGCTTGCTGTCTGGTCATTAGCAGGCAGCTGGGTCTCATACAGGACTTCTGAATGGAGCCTGATGTGTCACTTGCCAGTGCTCTCTGGGGGCTTTTGGCCCCTGGTGATGATGGCATTCCTGTCTGAGGCAGCTGGCTGCGTTCTGGTGGGTGAATCAGTAGCAGAGGAGCACAGGAAGCTTTTAGGGATGGTTATTGAAGGCAGAGAGTGGGTTAGGGGGACAGGATGCGGTAGTGGGTTCTTGGTCCAGCTGTGCAGGAAGTTCGTCGCAGAGCTTCGTGTCTCTTGTAGGACAGGGACGGCACTCTCCAGCCTCATCTTCTGCAGCGTGCAAAATCCCAGTGAGCGTGAACACTTGTCTTGTGGGTGTGTTTGTGTCCCTTTCAGATAATGATCTGTGATAGCAAGGGCCGAGATCCCTTCCAGCCCTCTCTCCCTAATTAAGGCGATTTTTTTATTTTGGTGTCTGAAGTTCGTTTTATTCATTTTTTTTTTTTTTTCCTCCACTGTGGAAGTCTGTAGACAGCTGTAGTTCTAGCCTTCCTGTTGTATGCTGCAGC